ACAGTCAATTATTTTCCTTGAACACAAATATAGACGAGAAAAGAAAAAACTTCGTTCAAATAAGATGTATTTTAAGACAACAAAAACTACTCATATATATTGAATTAAGTTTTTGTTCGGTGCAAAGGAAAAAAACAAAAATTTTGAAAATTTCTGTTAATAGCTGGGATACATTAGTACTTATTTCTAGAGCAGCAGTTCACAGGTCGCTCATAAGCGATAGAAATCGTGATTACAAGGTAGAGAATATATCTAGGAACTATGGAATTCCTCTATATTGTCTATCGCGCCAAAAAATGGTTTTAAATATGTCAATATGTGAGATACCTACAGTTATTATAAGTGCAGAAAATTTCATGACTAAAAATCAAGGGGGAAACAGCGAACTTCAAGACTTCAAGACTTCAAAAGACTTCAACAGACTTCAACAGACTTCACTCGCTGTGACTTCATCTTTTCACAAGACTTCGAAAGACTTCTAAAGACTTCTGAAAACTTCATAGGACTTCAAATGACTTCGCAAGACTTCATAAGACTTCGTATGACTTCATGGGACTTCATGGGACTTCAAAAAACTTTGAAAGACTTCGTTAGACTTCACAGACTTCGTGAGACTTCAGGGACTTCATGAGACTTCACCGATTTCATGAGACTTCAGAGACTTTGTAGGACTTCTTGAGACTTTATAAGACTTCATCAGACTTCATAAGACTTCACAAGACTTTATAAAACTTCACAACACTTCACAAAACTTCACAACACTTCACAAGACTTCACAAGACTTCAGAAGACTTCAGAAGACTTCATAGGACTTCAAGAGGCAGATTCCATGCGTATCAAAAAATCTTATACAAATTACATGAAACCTCTATAACATGCAAAAAAACAAAACTTATCAAATAGTAGGGGTGTCATTTACCGTTTACTTTATAATAAATATAAATTATTTATCATTTAATTTACGCGTAAATTAAATGGAAAGTAAATATAAATTGACACCCTTATTCATAACAGAGTAACTAGTGTCTTCCGAGAACCACGAACGGGAATGATATTGAAAATTGATTGCTCCCAAAAGTCTGTTTTGTGGAACTCACGTATATTTTCGAAGAAAATAGTGAGTGTACGTTTTCAGTTCGAGGTTTGATGACTCTCTCTCCCCCCACCCCATTATAGACACTTAGCAACGGAGAAAGAGAACATTACAGACATACCCCCTCCCCCCATTACAGCCCTTAGCAACGAGGATTAAATAATGGTGAAAATATTATTTTAGCTGCATTTAATCGTGCAAAAGAACTAGTTAGTAATTTGAATATATTACCTTCATTAAAGAAATGCAATGCTTGAAAACTTAATAGTTTAAGTAAAAATATATTTGATAGTATTAGATTCAACATTAATTCGGATACTTATTCGGCAACGGATGCAGATTCTTCATCAGATTCTGAATCTGATTATGATGATGAAACAATAGAAAGTAATGAGTTTAATAGTGATCTAATCAATGTGGATGAAGAAGATAAAGATGCGGCAACGACACAAAGTGTTGATGAAATTAAAACTGAGAAAATAAATTTTACTGGTATGCGTATATTTGATTCGATCAATCCAGCAATGAAAAACTCCTATTTTCAAGTGCAAATAAATAACAAGACTAAATTTATACACAAGCAAACGGCTTGTTGGTTATTAACTGACAAAGCTAGCCGTTTATCGGCTGATAGATTATCACGAGTGATAGAAACAAACAAAAAGGATTAAAATTCTTCATCAGATTGATTTGGATAGATAAAACATTTCTTATAAAAATAAAACACTTCATTCAAAAAGATTCAGGTATTAACTATTACGTTTACTAAGACCAAACAAGCTTGAATTTTTTCCAGCACATTGAAAAAAAAAATAAATAGTTGACCTTTCTGCTAAAATAAAATCGTCGAAAACAAGACAATTTCATTGGTTTCTTATGAATTTTCATGCACTAAATGTATTTCAAAACTTTCAAAAGAATTCATGAGACTTCATTAGATTTCATGAGACTTCAAGAGACTTCAAGAGACTTCAAGAGACTTCAAGAGACTT